TCCGGCAGTACCCCGGACAAAGATCAAGTTACACTGGTCAAAGATCCACTATACATGCAGATGTTGTTTCAGATGACACTAAACTTTGCTTTTCCGTTGTGCAATCTGACCTTTACAATATTCTCATCTGTATATAGTATTCTATTTAAATAAAACCTTAAAAAACATTATCTCCGGTTTTTACGAAATTAACTGCAATGAAAAACAAAAAAAAATAATTTGAAGACAATTAAAATATGAAAAAAATCTTAAAACTCCCTTGATTTATTTTTACTGATTCAACCTAAACTTAGGTTTACTTTGAGATCTTAAGAACTTTACCTTTTGTAGAAAAAATATGATTAACTTTAGATGTTGTTAGATTATTCTAATCCTAAAAAGGTTTTTTTTTAAAGGATACTTTACAAACGTGCAGTTTTCTAGATTTTACTTTTTGTTATTCACTTGTTTTTTTTTTTTTACTAAAAAATCGTATTTGCATGGAATGCGTGTCCCTACTTCAATTCTGCTCACCTTAATCAAGTAAATAACCTTGAAGAGTTTGTTTTTTTAAATTAATATCTCGAAAGAACAAAGACACTTGTTAGGTATTGTAACCTGCGTCGAACGGAGCAAACACAAAACGGGCTTTTATTAAAACCGTAAGCGTGGGCGGATGAATACCCCGTGAGAAACTAAAGAGAAGCAATATTCTGAACACGTGTATCATACAACAGAGGTTTAAATACAGTTTGTTAAGAACAAAACATAACGCTGCGTCCATTAAGTCATTAAGGTCACTCAATTTAAAAAAAAAAAACAATAATCAATATCTAACAATTTTCAAAAAGTAAATCCCCCATATAACGCGGAAATTACCCGTTATACGAATACAACCACTAATTTTGAATAGTAGGGAGTTCCCTATAACGCGATGTAGGGCTCTATCCTGAAAAACAAGTATACAAGTGGATTCCTACAGCGCGGAGTCATGATCCGCGTTATAGGAGGTTTACTGTAAGTAAATCTTATGGTCTTTAATTAGAGTAATTCAGTAGACTTTAGATGAATGTATTCCACTATTTTAAAGTATGTATAAACACGATATATAAAGTAATAATATTGAAAAATACATAAACACTGACATGATGCACTCAAGTCGGAGTACCATCCAATCTATTTAATTATGGAAGAATGATGAGTGGCCAGAGAAAACAAATACTAGCGCATAGCAATTTACATAAAAAGTTAAATTAACAATTCAGCGAACCTATCTTTTATTGATTCAATTTATTATTCATCGCGCACACGACTTAATTACAAACGGATGACCGCATTTATTTGCGGACTGTGGTGAAAACTATACAATTTATGTAACAGTAAATACACTACTGTAGGTTTATTGTTGGAACACAAAAGACAACATAAACAATGGTGCATTTTAATCCATAGCCTAAATCTAACTTAAAACGACAGTCCAGTTTTGACTTTTAAATCTTAACTTTCGTGTTTTAAAATTCAGGAATGCATGCCTCGACAAAGACACGATTTTTACGAACTATAGCAGAAAAAAGTATATATCTTTTAAATAATTTTAATGTCAAATGCGAAGAAGGTAAACGATAAGCGTAATGATAAAATATGAAGTGACTAGCTTTTGTCCGCGACTCCGTCCGCGTGAAATTTAAAAATAATGAAAAAGAAATGAATGATAAATTACCTTTCTAACGGTGAAAGCATTTTTAAAATCAACCCAGTAGTTTTTGAGACTATTCATTACAATCAAACAAACAAAGTTTTCCTCTTTATGCCTAATATTATATAGCATATATTATTAATTTGCAAAGAGTTTCAATAGGTCTCTAATGATTTTATATCTAACATTTAATCCAATTTCCTCCTTTCGCAGAATTTCTGAACCTTTGACGATGCTCTTAAGACCTCTAATTTAATAGGCACGGATGAATTTTGTTAAAATTAAGTCTGAAGTAATCTTGATGAACATTTACAATTACAATAGAGCTGAATATCGAATTAATATGAAGTTAATTTAATTAAAGAAATGGTGTAATTGTATTTGAACGTAATTCATTAAAACTTGTGTGCTATATTCGTTATTACGAATTTACATGAAATTAATTTAATTTAATGGTTTAATTGTAATTAATACACTAAAACTTGTGTGCTCATAGAAAGATATAAAAATCTTACTAATGTTATAAATGCGAAAGTTTGGATGGATGTTTGTTAAAGTTTGTAGCTTAAATGGCTGAACGGATCTCGATGAAATTTGACATAGGTGTAGAGGATAGTCAGGAAGAACACATAGGCCACTTACTTTTGTTTTTATTTTTTAATTCCACGCGAACGGAGTCGCGGGCGAAATCTAGTAATACAATAATTTCGAAAATTGTTCCGTAATGTAAATTAAAAAATACTACTATCAAAAATTTATTGCAAAATAAGTGTGGTAGACAAGAGAATTTATCGACAATAAAAATAATATTGACCATAAAAATATTCCTGTTTCATTTAAAGAGTTTTTATTTAGGGTCTCTATCCGTTTTATAGACGTGTTATTAAATTGCAATAACCTATGTAGTATATTTATAATTCTGCATGTAGGTTTGAGTAATGTAAAATAGGTCAAAATCATACTCGAAGAGAAAAATACGAATTGTGCTATAGCGTAACATTCTGAGGTAGTCATTAATTATCGATGAAATAAGATAAAATATCACAATTTTCATTAATAGCATATTTTATAATAATAAATGTTACGACTACGATTAGCTTTCGCCCGCGACTTCGTCCGCGTGGAATTAAAGAACAACAAACAATTAGTATATGTTCTTCCAGAATATTATTTACATTTATGCCAAATTACATTGATATCTAATCAGCCGTTTAGGCTACAAACTAACAAACATCCATCTAAACATTCGCATTTATAATATTAGTATAAAGTAAGAAGAGAGATAAGTATTTAGAAGATATAATTTAATAGTGTAAGGTGCCATAATATTAAAACAGGATAAACATTACTTATTCTAGAAACAGCTATACAGTTAGAATTGCAACGAATTTAATCAAAACTTGTAATGAAGTAGACAAGTTCATACGACATGTTGAATTAACTATTAAGTTTGTTGTTGGATACAATCATACATGTTTCAAATAATAATGGACAAGACTTGAGTTAACTGGGGTTAAGTTAAAATCCACAGTTAACATTGACATGTTAACATGATATGTTAATATTTAATATGATAGTTAAAATTATTTAACGTTTTTTATTTATTTATTTAAGTACCACCACAACATATAATATACACTTACAATGAGTTAGTTCACAGTATTGTATTCTTATATATATATGTAAATACTGGCATACATAACATTTGCTAGTAATTATTTCACATATGTTTAAAAATTAAACATTTTCGCGATATTAAAAAAAGAGAGAAATAAAAGGTGTTTTTACTTTAAAAGTAAAGTATCTATCTATCTATTTCTTGTTTATGACTCTCCCACAGCGGATTGGGCAAACAGTAAAGTAAAAGGTAAGCTAAGGAACATTTCGATGAATACATTTATTACTCAAAATTTCGCATTTGTTTACTCTACGAAAATTTAAGGCTCAAAAGTGCTAAATAATTACGTACATTTAACAAGATTATCATTAAGCGTGAGTTAAGTATGACTCACGATTTGTAATCAAGATCTGAATCATGAACATAAAAAAGCAACAAGAACATTAAAAAAAACAATGATGTATTTTTGGAATTACAGAGGCAAAGATTTCCGTATTTGGACTGATATTCTAACCTTAATTCCGTATCCTTGAGCGCATTTTAATTATTTTACTCATACAGGGTCTACATTAAAAAATGCCTATTTACTCCGGCAACAGGCAAAAGTGTTTTGCGAATACCACTATCTAGTAAGACAAACATAGCAACAAATATATTAAATAAATTGTTTTTCACCACAAATAAACAAGGAAATATAAATACATTTCTCAAATGCAAGAAACATGTTCCATATTAAAATTTGCATCATAACAAAGGAAAAGAAGATTTTCAATGATGTTTGTTTTGTTAGATTAACACAACATTAAGAAACAATAATTTAAGTTATAATATCATAGAAAACCTTGGTTAGGATACATTATTGTACATTGTAATTACATTGTACCATTATAGGCACATTTTGGCAAGGCCTTTCATTCTCGCTGGAGTGGCCCCATTCAATAAGTACTTGGCAATAATTTTATATGCAGCAATAATCTTCAAATAAGGTCAATTGCTTTAGGGATCCAATTTATTAGTTTAAAGTTATTTACATTTGTTATTTTTTTGAAGAAATTTATTTGTAATAATAGTAATAACAATAATTTTACTGTTTCCTGAATCAAAATGTATTATTAAGAAGATACAGATTATTCTCCTTATCATTTATTCATTGGTTAATCTTATTCAATAATAATATGGTTTAAAATGGTGCAACACAGAAAAGATCTCCCTTTTTACTTAAATATTAAGGTTTTGACGATAATGGGCCAAAAAGCAAATAAAACCAGTATTGATCTATGAAGTAAATTGGTATCAGCTTAATATAAGCACTATTGTAGGATTCTTAGATACAATAGTGAGTTAAATTTTGTTTTTTGCTGTATCATTAATAAGTTTTAAATTAAAATAAAAACTATAATTTCCTACAGAAATACCTGAATACACCTAAAAAATTAAACATTATTTTGGTTTACATGAGTGTTTTATAGATTACTGCAAATTTTTTAACTAAGAATTTAACGTCAGCTGTATTTCTGATAAAAAACCAGAATATGACATCATCTTGTAGGGCGGTTCATGGGATTCTAATAAGTTCTTATCAAATAGTATTTAGTACGTCAGTATGTTAATTAAGTACGTACTTTCGTTTAGTGCAAAGAAAATACTGTATAATGCGCAAATAATTATTGATAATTAATTCGTCTAGTGTAAAATGAGAACACTTACTTGAATTTGTGTCTAGCACCTAGCTAAGACGAAGCAGCCGAAGTCACTCGTTAGCACACCCACTAGGCACCAAAATACAGACCAAGTATGAAAGTAATGAAAGACTTTCACGCTGACAAGCAGTCGTTCGATCGACTCTATGAGGTTAGCTCATGAAATGCGCAATGTTTTGACTATGCGCATTGGTTACTGTTTTGGTTGTCATGCGCGGTTTGCATTTCAGTTACACTTTGAAAATCAATTAAAGGTATGACTTTGTTTAATTATATTGTAAACTCAATATTTATTTTTATTTTGCTGTGTACAATGTAAAGATATGAATGTGAAGTGAAGTTTACTTTATTTTTTGACATATTACAGCTACATTACCGCCATCTATTGTCTAGTAGCAAACTACAAGCAAGTTGATTTCAAATACTATTTAATGATACCGCTATCGCACAAGAGATGGCAGTGCTATTCGCAAAATCGGAAAATTTATTTTCAGTAATAAATAGACTGTAAAAGTTTGAACTGCTTTCAGAATTACAATTTTATTTATAAAAAAAAAAAACTAGTAAATATTAATGTAACATGACATGCTAAGTTTCTCCCTTATTTGTTATTTTATAAGTTTAAAGCTCTCAAGGTATTTTAAAGATTTGAGACATAGGCTGCCTGAATCTGCAGCTCTATCAACTGAGTTGTTTATTGGCTTACAGGAAATATAAAGCCAAGTCTCATTTGTTCTTGTTGTGACTTGTTAGCTTTCGCTGATAGTGATCATTATGTTGTTGCATTGGTACAATGAACCTGGAGAAGTAGTCATATCTCAAGAAGTCAAGCAAGCTAAACTGACATTTATCATTGTCTAATGAACTTCCCTGAGAATCGGAAGTGTAAAGCGCGCAAGTGAAAGTTTGCCGACTAAATGCGTACATTCTCGTATCCCGTTTGTTAAGATCTAAACATCATTTTGATACGCTTAACAAACCGCCGCCACTCCATCTTGAACGCTGCCTTTTTCACATTCTGGGAGGCCACAACCTTATTAAACTGATCAGAACATCTAAGAGATCTTTTTCGAGATGCTTTGGAAGTTGAAATATCCACTAGTAATTGCCGGATGTCTGATAGGCAAAGGTCGTGCCATTTCTTCGAATTCCGCTGGTCGTTCGCTAGTTTGCCACCTTATAATATTAAAAGATATAGTTACTGTAAAAGAAAGCGTCATATGGATATTATTATTTTGGCATAATTATAATGTTTTTATAGTTGATTTAATTTCTCTATAAACATGCTGAATGATTAATTATGATGATGACTTTGGTATTCTGTGTCGGAAAATATGCCTTTTTTCTGAATATGTTGGTGTTTACCTATTTATGTTTTTTCAGGCTAATATTAAAGAAAACTTTACACTTCATATTTAATCTTATTTTGATAAAATTGATTGTTGATTATGAGATGTTTTTGTTCGTAACTACATGTCAAAATAAGATATAACTATCATCACCAACTCTATGACATTATCTTTGTAAAATGACTCTTCTAACTTTTAGACATTTTACTCTATTACTCATATACTTCATATTATCAAAAAAGACATATTTTTATCTTTTTAATTTTAAATTTTAACCTCGTAAATAGTTTACGGAAACAAAATCGTCTTAAATTCTGATTAAAAATGTTCCAGAATGTAACATAGTTACTGTAATGGCCTTTTCTTTCCATTATTATCAAAACAACTTGCCCTTAACCATTAAAAGCTTAAAAGCGTGCAAGATTCTTTTCTTCAATTTATAGCGTTTAAAAATTTAAAGAAAATATAATAAAATATCCGCAATAAACACTAACAAATCGATCGATTTTATCAATCTTGAACGAATTGATAAAATACTCAAAACTGTTTATCAATGTCGTTACTACGCCCGAGACCGAGTACGTAGCGAATCGTTGTAAGCTTAAGTAACGATGAATTACCTCGTCTTATATAAGATTAGATACCGACTTACGTTATATATCTTTAATTCTATAATTTATTAGCCTATTAATCTGGTTTTATACCTCCAATGACTGAAAAAAATTAAGAAAGAGTAGAAACAGTAGACGCAATACAAAATATTACCTAAAATAAATATGACAACGGCATAGAGAAGAAAGTAAAAAGATTGAATGTGGTTGGCTATAAAGGTACAGGAAGAATAAAGATATATGGATTGTGAGAAAAAGAGAGTGAATTAAGATATGACTGCTAACAGAGAGTTTTCCGAGACGTTACAATTTATAATACAATAACGGTAAATTATGGTATTGTTTTGTCACACACATTCACAATCTACGTATTTTTGAATAAATATTTCTTTAAAACAGATCCCTAGACTTACGACACGCTTTAGGCTATATATTTTTACACTATTAAACTCGGAAAAATTAATTGAAAAAAAAAACCTTCATGTGGGAAAAGGACCATAACCTAAAAGCTGCCAACATTAAGGAAGCAAGCTTGCCATGGTTTGTCATGTTATTTTGACATTTGCAATTGATAATTTGACAAATGTAAACAATGAAATGAAATTTTCATAATTTTATGTGGATGAAGTCGCACGAGAGCATCTACTTCATAACAAAATAGTTGTTGAGATGGTCCTCGTTTCCAACATCCAGTAATATCGACGTTCAAGTAATCTTAGAATTTAGTTGCAAACTTTCAAGTCTTGTTTAATGTCGTCTAAATATTATGTTACTAGGCTACTACAAGTGAACTTTCTTAGACCAATTTAATCCCCAATTTATATTAATCTTATCACATCCTTTGTTAATCTTGAGATCTGAATGTAATTGACCTTCAAGTAAGGTGACATTACAGTTGTCAATGACTAAGTTTTCAGTGATTCATGATTTTTATCTCATTCATTATATGCAGAACGAAATATAGTAAGAAACTGTACAATATTACCTTATAATATTTTTTAAATTAATTGAATCTAAATACAGGATAACATTGGTACAAAAATGAAAAGAAGGAATAAATATCGTAAATCTAGGTTATTTTGAATGCTCACACATATACATGTACTTAAGTAATTAACGCAAATTATCGTTATTAGACGTTAACGGGCCTCGTTAGCCGTTACGTGCGCTGATTAGGAATCGTTACTACCTACAGTTAATTCTCAATCAGATTTAGATAAGTAGTTATTACAAATTACGTTTTATTAAAAGCTGTCGCTCACGTCTTGGTCCGCGCGGAATTACAAAAACTGTCTGTAGTAATAAATATAGCCTATGTTACCCAGTAATGATGTAACTTAATAATGGAATAAGATTATTGAACTCGGGTATTTTGTAGCATAAAATAAATGCGTTGCCTACCTGTAATCAACGCAAGAAGGGACGCACAGAAAGAGAATATTATCCCTTCTTATGCGTCTTCTCCTTTGTCTAATTCTCTTCCTATCTATTCCCTATAAGAAATAGATAGTCGCAGTTGTTTTTAATCATCAGTGTTACTACTGTTAGGAACAAAATCAGTACCGTGCTATAGAATTGGCGCAACTCTAGATTATCGGCATAAACGTCACGTCCCTAGCTGACAGCTGTCAATGTCACTAGAAGTATGGATAAATTGGCGCGCAGAGTCCTGGCGAGAAGTGTTGCTCTGAGTTTAAAGCGACAGTATCAATTAAATAAGTTGTCTAAAACTACTGAAGTTTTCAGGTCAATTCTTAATTAACTATGATCAGTTTCTTATGTGTGCAGACATTGTCGTTTCGTATTATAGTAGTTTAAGTAAGTACTTTAATGGCTACTTGATGGAAAATGGATATAACTAGAAGACATCCCAAGGTCTTGTTAATCTCAAGTGCCGTATTAAATTGAACGTCAAGATATCAAACGATACCTTACGTCACAGTAGGTACAACAGATTGTAAGTAAATCCAGGCACTAGGCAAATTAAGCACTATGGTCGGGACTAGAAGTATTATTCATCTACTTTTATATGGCAGTTAGGTATACAAACAACTTCATAGCTCATAGTCTGGTTATATCTTTAAACTGAGTCGAGTTGGCACATTAGTCACCTTAGCACTCTTTTGCCCGAAGTGCCAACTCAAGCGCCTTCTCACAAAAAAGGCTCGCATCTAAAATAATGAAATAAAAAAATTGTTCTGAATATTTTATACACCTAAAATGGTTTTTTGAAATATAACACACGCCCACCAATAAATACAATCTTATAAACATAATAAAAACAGTATTAAAGTAATAAATGGTGTATTATGATATATTGGTCATAAATTATATTAGTAAAGTATGGAAAGTACATATTTAGTAATTTCCTGTCTGTTATCTTTCTCACTTTTATGATTTTAGCATTTATAAGGAAAAAATCATTTCATAATGAAAAAAAACGGTGTTAGTCTTAGCGGGTCTAGAATTGACTTTAAATCATATATGCTGGGTTTCCGAAGTTTCTATTTATTTTATCATTAACTAATGTTTCATTGGTGTTTGGTTAACCTATGTTTAAATGGAGTAAAACCCAAGTTACGTAGTTCAGAAACAGATTTCCTAAAAGTTATCTAACCAAAAACCTTAACGAATGGTTAAAAGTAACTGGGAAACTTTGTCAAAGTATTCGGATAGCTAGAAAATACACTTTCTATAGGTGAGAATGTAAGTATACATTTTCCATAATAATTAGCAGGAATTTATCTTAATTTTCAAGAATTCTCAGTGATAGCTATTTCCATATCATTTAGCAAAAACATATCATTACGTCATGGAAAAAATTTACCAGAGTGTATCATCGAAATATTTTTCATAGACAATATAGATAAATGTCTAAAAATACTTCAACGATGAACAAACGTACTAACATGTCAGGCGCGTTACATGTAATCCTAGTGTGCGCCTGCGCATTTGTACACCCGCAGCAACAGTCACGTACGCACACAAGGACACGTGCAAATTACGTTTGACTAGGGATGTGCTGAGGTACGATCCTATTTTGTCGATCGTTTCAAACCGCGAATTTAATCGCAGTTCTTTGATCCTATAATTAATCAAATTGATCCAAAAAATCTCATAGAAATGAATACAAAGACTATCAAAAGAAAAAGCTTTGAAATATTATCTTAAAAGTACATAAAAGTTAACTTGAAAGTGAATCGATCTGTATATCAGAACACATAACACAGATCACATTTTCGTTACAATTTGAAAATCAATTGGATCGTATACCCACGATTCGATTATCGAAAAATATCAGAATGGGTTGGCACATCCCTACACAACAATCGTTATCGCTATCTAAGCTCCGAAGGTAACGGCCGCTACAGCCGCCGT